TTGGTGATGTGAGAGCCTGGTCCGGTGAGAACCCGGCGTGCTGCGTCCCGGCTTCATAGGGGTGCGTGGTCAATGGCCTAACGGATACGGCGAGCACGACTAGGAGTACACACCCCCCCCCCCCCCCCTGGATCGGTTATCCTTACCGTCTCGTCGAGATATTTCCGTACATGTCATAAGATAACACCCCCCCCTCCCTTGGATCGATCTTTTGAAGCTGGATTTCTCGACACCAAAAGATTGAGCCAAAACCAGTAATGGTGGGTTTGGAAGGGGGGTTTTCCGTAGACGTATCGGGAACTTTCCGCGCATCCGTTGGTTTTGGGGCTTTCGAGGTTCGAAAGTCGGTCTAGGGGGGGTGCCACATTTCCACCTCTTACGGTGTTACTGCCGTAAGAGGTACGCACCACTAAGGCGGTGGATAGATGGTGAATACCGTGTATGACATAAGATAACACACCCCCTGGACCGATTTTCAAAGGTCGATTACTCCACGACGAAGAGGACGCATAAACGAAATGATACATTTTCGAAAAGCTCTCGACGAGACGGTTTCAACGCCGCCGTTTTCGGCGCTGTGACTGTTCCTACAGTTGAGAAATCGAGCTTCGAAAATCGGTCAAGGGGGTGTGTTATCTTGTGTCATATACGGTAGACGAGGCTGGCTACTAGATGTTCCGCCGTTTGTGTGTGTGTTTGGGTGTCATTGCCGACAAAAATGGCGACATGTTTGAGGGTCAGCGTTGACGATATGATACGGGTATCGTACATGGTGTGTTAGAATGTGGTTTTTGGTGTCGTGGGGGTACTGCTGTACTAAGGCGCACTACTCCTGTTAGGCAGCAGCACTGAGGACGAAAGAAATTAAATAGCTGGAAGCACAGCTATCCCGCGAAGTCATGTAGCTTGTGTGTGATGCTGCTGTTTGTGGACATGTATCATGTGTAAATGTACGCGGTGTGATCGGACACCGCTTATGGTACGGCAAGATGTGATCTTGTTGGGTGTGATAGAAGTGGGGGGAGGTGGAGAGAGGGAGGGGTAGGGAGACTTTCCACCTGGGAAGAGCACGAAAGACGTAACCATGGTTGAGCAAGAAAATGTTGACCACTTTTTCACGGGAAAAACCGTTTCATCTCCAACACCGAGAAACGAATTGAAGGTGATTCGGTGCTGGTGCACGCGCACACAAGCACACAAGCACACAACCCCCCGTTGCTTGAATCAGTCGGGCACCCCAGTCTCTTTCTCTCTCTCTCTCTTTCTGTATATGTATCTCTTTGATGCTGGTGATGATGGTGATGCACCACACGACAGGTAGGTTCTCGATTGGACCTCTCTCTGTCTGCCTCTCCCTGTCTGTCTGTCTCTGCGTCCCCTCTCTCTCTCTCTCTCTCTCTCTCTCTCTCTCTCTCTCTCTCTCTCTCTCTTTCTCCATAATGGTGATGATGATGCTACTGTTTCTCTCTGATTCTCCCTGCTCTTCAACGAATATGATTGTATTTCTGGTTGTGATGATGATGACGGTGATGCACCACATGGCAGGTGGAGGTGTTCTCCATGGGACAAGGCGTAGACCCAGTCGAGATCACCAAGGCCGGCCTAGAGCGCGCCGTGGAGGGGGAGTTTGACACGGTCATCGTCGATACGGCCGGGCGGCAGGTGGTGGATGACACCCTCATGACCGAGCTCAAGGACATACAGGTATAGCTACTGCTGTGGTTGTTGTTGTTGCTGTTGTTGCTGCTGCTGCTACTGCTGCTGCTGCTGCTGCTGCCTTCATCATTGCTGCGTGGCGTATTGGCTCCTACGCACATACTAGCGTCGTTTCCTTATACTTGGTCATTTGTAGCTTTTTTATGCGGCCGTTGGGACGTCGATGCTCTTTGCTTCTGTTGCCAAAGGATGACCCCTCGTTGACGGTGCTGCTGCTGACGGTTTCGCGCTGCTCTTGTCACCATGTCGTGGTCCACCCTATCTGTGCTACTGTACCTCGCTCTTGTTCCGCCATCTCTACATCTTCACACCCACGTTAACCTCCCCGCCCTCCCGCATTTTGCGTGGACCCCCCCCTCCCCCCCCCCCGGTC